ACACGTTGAAGCTTTCCGAGAGATCGCCAAACTGAACACCAATCAGCGACTGGCCGTGCGCAAGGTTCTATGCGCGAAAGACTATGCTCTCATTCTTGGTATGCCCGGGACGGGCAAGACCACGGTAATCGCCACGCTCATCAAGGCGCTGGTCCACATGGGCAAATCCGTTCTGCTCACGTCTTATACCCATTCTGCGGTGGATACCATCCTAATGAAGCTGAAGGAAGGCGTGGATTTTACCATCTTGCGGCTCGGGAGTCTGGATAAGGTGCGATTTCATTCGGTCTCTAGCTGTATCCTAGCTGACTCAACGAGTCAGATTCACCCAGAGGTGCAGGGCTTCACCCTGGCTGCTCGGCGACCGGCAGCCACGGTCGAACAGCTCGAGCAGCAAGTGATGACCCCTGCTGTTGTTGCTACAACGTGCTTGGCATTAGACCAGTGCGTGACCGACGTCTAGACCTCCTACGTCGCTTACTGACATGACCGTGCAGTCCCTTGTTCTCGCGTCGCAAGTTTGACTATTGCATCGTCGACGAAGCCTCGCAGGTCACATTGCCGACCTGCCTAGGTCCTTTACGATTTGCTGATAAGTTCGTGCTTGTCGGTGACCACTTCCAACTTCCTCCGTTGGTAGGTTAAACCGTTCGTAATCATTGAAGTTCAATCTAACACTCGTTCATAGGTGCGTAATAGGGATGCTAAGCGAGGCGGTCTGGACGTGTCACTCTTCCGACGACTCTCAGATGCGCATCCTGCGGCGGTGGTGGACTTGAACGAGCAGTATCGCATGAACGAGGACATCATGACGCTTTCCAACCGACTCATCTATAGTGGTCGTTTGCGTTGTGGTAACGAGGAAACGGCCACGCGCGGCTTGCACATCCCTAGTCTAAGCTTCATGCAAGGCCTGCATGAGAAGTCTCAGTGCGACAAGCGAGCATGCTGGCTGGACCGCCTTCTCGATCCAAGGTACGATGATTTCGCTCCACGTTGGTCTATACATCTAATCGTTTGTTCGCAGCTGCAAAGCAATATTTGTCGACACCGACGACGTCCCTGCCCAAGATTCAAGAGTTGGAGACCTCACTCAAAATGTTACTGAAGCTCGTCTGGTACATCAAGTGACTGAATGCCTCGTTCGTGGTGGGGTACACCAGAAGCAGATTGGGGTCATTTCGCTATACCGTCAGCAGATCAAGCTCATCTCTTATCTGCTTCAAGAATGGAAGGACATCGACATCCTCACCGCGGATCGCAGTCAAGGTCGTGACAAGGACTGTATCATCATATCCATGGTCAGGTCAAACGATCTCACGCAGGTATGTTGTCGTACTGCTCCAGTCAGAAAAGCTGCTGATGCTGTTGCACCACACACAGATCGGAGACCTCATGAAGGATTGGAGGCGAATGAACGTTGCATTCACCCGCGCACGCTCCAAGCTCATCATCTTCGGCTCTCGCAGCACGTTGCAGGCTGTGCCGCTTTTGACAGAGTTCTTTACGTTGATGAACGAGCGAGGTTGGATACTGCGTCTCCCAAAGGACGCTGACCAGCTGCACGGTTCTCCGGCATCGTCACCAAACAAACGAACAGCAGGCGATGAGCTGGTAACAACGGGAGTAGGGAAACGGACGCCGAAGAAGCTGAAAGTCAGTGCTTTCAACGAGGATGGTCTGCTTCGAGGGCGACCCATTCTCCAGGATGTCGTGAACGCAGAGAAGTGACTGGCTTGCTCAAGTACGGTATTGCAGCTATTGCCTTCGTCGTCATGCATAGATGGAATCACGTAGTTTTTTCCGCAAACCATAGGCGTGATATACGGTGTCAACTTCTACGTCCGCTTCGGAAAGAGCGGCCGCATTCGCACGAGAATGATACCTGTGCAATGTACAACCGATAAAAACCAAGACAAATGTTCAAAAAATGGACGCACTGGGAATTGAACCCAGCACCCCCCGCAACTTGCAGTCGATAAGACTTGCTAAGCGGATGTGATAACCAACTACACCATGCGCCCGATGATTGAGGTTTCACTATCAAACGTCGTCAGACGACCGTCTTCACCGACTACTACCGACTCGCGGCAACGCAACTCAGATTTTTGTCTCCCAGGGCAGACCAATACAGTGACCGAGAGACGAGTCGCGGGTCACTTTGTATAGGTCTGCAACTGAATCCCCCCCTCGATGCTTTGTTCGACCTTCGGCTTTTGCCAGTGATTGGCGAGCCATGCCGAGTGTTCCGGGCACCGCCTCCTCCTTGGCCGTCCATCGCTCACGAGCTCATCCTCACAGATTGTTGTCTGAACGCCAACAAATCCAACTAGCATACCTCTTTCAATGCATGAATACTGGCTGTCTACTATACAAGTATCAATATGTGTATCTCACTCGCAGTGTGACCGCCGAGCTTCTGCTAACCCGCTACTTTGTCTGACTCCCGTTCTATCTGTCTACCGTGCACGCGCAACCATCTGAATAAATTGGACGATGTCGAGGACTCACAAGACATGATATTTCTGCTGATTGAGACCTCAAGACAGTCAAATATGCGGGTCACGGGTCATCACGAGAGGCATACATGAACACCAAGGCTGGACCATGGACCATAGCTTTACCACGAGCAAGTACTTGCATTGAATACTTGCGTGCGATGGTTCTCGAGCCGGAAAGAAGACGTGTTGCACACTCTCAATGTTCGTCCGTCCAGCTGAAATCCGCCGACGTCGAATATGTCGTGACTCGAAGCTTGGTTCGCAGCTGGCTCGGTTGTAGCTGCCTCTGAGACCAAGGACGAAAGCTCCATTGCATTAGCAGCGGGTTGTGCATATGATAGCATCCGAGAGGCGCGAAGCGACCTGTCAGAAATCACGACAGATGAAGTCGTGTACCAGCGGAAGTCTTGAACTCGCGAGCGTCGCCCGGAAGTGTCAAAGCATATTGAGATGTTCTGTCGATTGGGCGAAGTGCGCAAGAATCAGCGTAGAACCGTATCGTACACCCCTGCAACGAACTTACTGCACTAGAACACAATGCCTCAATCAGCTAGGAATCTCAAGTCAAGGCTTGTTTTCGCTCCGCTGAAGCTGAGGCCTGCCTTCGGAGATGCTGCTCTCTCAGCCCTTGCGACTGCGCCGTGACCAGCACTACACACGCACTGTCTCAGTCAATATGACGACAACCTTTGTATAGAATAAAAACACACCTACTGAAAAGATTAGGCGTAGAACTGGAAGACACGAAGAAGGTGAACAAGGACGCAGCACAACGAGATACTGGCAGTGCTGAGTCGCGACGTCGACGCGTTCGTGGTGGCTGAGGCGCTATGCCGGGTGATGGCCGGCCCCGCCAATCAACGGCAAAGACCGAAGGTCGAACAAAGGACTTGGGGTAGGATATCGCTGCAGACTAACTCAGATTCGACTACTACCTAGTGACCTACCGTCCGTCTTGAGATGTCTCTCATGGCTTTTCACCACGATTTCCGAGGGCGTGATCATTGCAGCTTCAGATAGCTCCTTACAGACGCATGAGCAGTTCCTGCATCTGAATGAGGTCTGCATGCGTGAGTCTCGTTTCTTAGTATTGCTTTGTCTCTTAGTTGCAGCGATCTGATCACGTACCATCATTTCAGTGCATACCGCGAACTCTCGTGCAACCTCCGAACAGTCGTGAGTCTCGCAGCCTAGCTGTGGTCGTAGCATTCAAGTTGCCGGAGCGCTTCTGTCCAGTGTGGTGAGTGTGGATATGGTTTATTCAGTTCGGATGGTCTTCTGACGTGCGCAGCTCAGTGCGATGAACATCTATCACGGTGCGCGAGGAATGGGCGCGCAGTAAGCTACCGATATGCACATACAAAGGCTACTCAGTGTGGCATCGTATATCTTTCCACTTTGCAACTCTTCGTCTCCAGCTCTCACAAACTGCGTCATGGAACTACATCTATCCCGTGACAACACCACTCATACCGTGCTGCTCGCAGCCTCCGGCGATTCCGCTTCGTTCAGCGATGCAACACCTTTATATCACATCTACACCCCGACCCCACTCTTGGCACGCGAAACAACCACTGTCTCGCGCATCAATCGCTCTGGGGCCGACGCTTTGTCGTACAAGCTTTCAACTCATTCATCCAATATCCGTAGTTCTGCGGAGTACAACGGGGCTGTTGAGCCATTCGCGAGCATCAACTGGAGGAAATCTCGCGTAACGTGCAACAGTGAGGAACTGAAGATACGGAGAGGAGGCTTTTTGTGGATGTAGGTCTCACAAATCTTCACCCTCTTTGAATCTCCCATTCATGGCATACGAATAATCTAGAGACAGGACATTCCTTGGACAAGACGGCCTTTCGTACACCTGGCACAAAGGCATGCAGGTAAGTAAATTCGTGTGATCCAACGTCGCGATCCAATGTTGACGGGCAGATCTACGATCACTATCTTAGCTGACACTGAGCGTGGCGCAGAATGGCGGAAAGATCGAACTTGCAAGATACCACGATTCCTTCTTTACTATGAAGAAACCATGGCTGGAAATATTACCGGAGGGTATGCACATGTTGGATCTCATTGTGACTTCATGGGTAGTTGCGGCGACCCGCAAGTCGTCTGGTCGTGGTAATGGTGCAGTGGCTTCAGCGACCGCAGGAGCTTCCGCTGCTGGCGTAATATCAAGCTGAGGCCGTTAATGTTGCTCTCGACAAGCCCTTCAGTACTTATGCATTGCACCTTTGACTCTCAGTCGACGGACTCGAGTACATCATGATCATAATCTTTAGCAAGCATCATCTTCCACACCACTGGAATCTTCTCAACTGTATGAGAACGCAAGAATAAGTGTTAGTAAGTACGTTACTAGTTGCTACATATACCTGTCCAAGCCATTCCTGGTTGAGATGATTGTATGAATTGCTTATGAAGTCGTGATCATGGCCGCCCTCTGGCCCCACCATGCTAGTTCAGCAGCTCAAAAACTCGAAACAGGGTTTCAATTGGACGCACTGGGAATTGAACCCAGCACCCCCCGCAGCTTGCAGGCTTGTGAAGACTTGCTAAGCGGATGTGATAACCAACTACACCATGCGCCCGACAAAGAACGTTGAAAGCGATCTGCCGCAGTGACGGTGATTCTGCACGAATTCCGTATTCGTTCTGGAGAAGAAGACGCTGTGTTGGTCATGTAAACGTCCCACGAAGCGCACAGCATGGGCGCATGGTGTAGTTGGTTATCACATCCGCTTAGCAAGCCTCGGCCTGCAAGCTGCGGGGGGTGCTGGGTTCAATTCCCAGTGCGTCCAATCGTTGTCAGGGAAACTACTTTTATGCCTCGCTCCTCCTATCACAACCACCATCGAGTCTAACATCCATGGCCAAAGCCCGCATCTCTCATTTCAGCTGTGGACGCCCCTCCTTCGCCTGCTCTTCATCTTTTTCCTGTACGAGCTCGACGCGTTATTACCGTCCTCGCGTCGCTTCGTCTACAACCCGCACCGCGAGTACATACTCCAGTCATGCCGATGTCGAGACGACCTCCTCCGCCGTACCGCCACCTCTGGCATTCTTCCACCCGAATTTCCCTGCAAGCCGAGCACCGTTCATGACGAAGGAGGAAGAGTACCAGCTGGAACTTATGACGACATTGGCTGCGATACACCCGCCGACGTATGCGCATGGTGCGCATATCCTCCGAAATGACACCCCAGCTCTGCTTGCAGAGTCGTCTTCGGGGTTGGATCGCTCTCCTGCAGAGCCACGAACCTCGTCTGTGCAAAAGGCGTCGGAAACGCACCAAGAGCAGGAGCCAGAGCTTGAAGACCCGGAAAGTGAGATTTCGGACCAAGAATGGGAGATTCGTACAGGTACGTAGTCCCTCTTCACAACCTCACTATTCACATCTGATACGACTCTCTAGACTCCCTCCGCCCTCTTGTATGAATCTTACCCATACACAGGTCGAGCAATATACATCCTCCAACAAACCCTCCCAACCTTCTTCTCAACAGGGCTCATATCCTCCCTGGACCTGCCAGAACCTCCCCCCTCGACAGCGCAGCGCCCTTCGTTCACAGACAGCCTTCTCTCAACGTTCACGACGGACAAGGCGAAAGGGAAGGGGAAGGCCAGAGAAGAGAGTGGCCTGCACAGCAAGAAGCAGAAACATGCGGATGGGATATACAGCCCGCGCGTACGGTTGGAGTATAAGCCTCCCGTGGCTTTGCCTACGCCGTTACCGAGGGTGTTGCGCGTCGAAGGTGCGTTCAGACGATGCCGTTCTCCTGAAGAGATGTGTATGCTGATTGCGCTGAGACTTAGGTCTGCACCTGTACATCGGGTCCTCGGTCTTCGTCCGACACACGCTGAACGCGCTATACACCGATCTACGAGTGGAGATTCGGAGAGCACGCGTTCATGGCCCGCCAAAGTCCAAACGGTCTAATAGTGGGGGTGATCCTGGTGAGTACAGTCGAGACTCATCTTCATGACGCGTTCTCAAAAGTGCTCTGAATAGATGTCCCGAAACCCGCAGCTTCGCAAAGCAAATACAGATGCATACGAGAGAAGAGCTTCTTCATGGGACTGGGCGTGACAGGAACAGGCCGTGTCAGCGGCGCGCCAGCAGAATGGGAAATGTGCGTTCTCCATACATACGTCGCTCATACTCGTACTCGTACTCACACCCCTACTCCCCTCATACAGAAACTGCACATACACCTTCTCCCCGATCACAGGCCTCATCCATCTGCACACGATCGACTCCATCGAGCCTGCGCCGCACGCTGCGCTGTTCGAGGCGATGGGACGGTTTGGGTTGGTCGGAAGTGGTGGGAATGAGCGTGGTGCGGGGAGTGGGGGAATGACTGGGTGTGGTGGGAAGGGTGGTTCCTCTTGAGCAGATTTGCAGGGGGATGGGGGGATTTGACTCGGATTCTACATTGCACACCACCACTCAGGGTAGACCCAAAATGTAATAGGGTCTGGTTGCATTCGTGAAAACCACCACTCCAATGTTTCCTCTCCCTCCCGTAGTGTGATTGTGTCCCAGTCTGACCCAGGAAATGACTACGCGCGGGCCCAGACGCGTCGTGTGTACCCCCAAGCAGGCGGAAACGCGTGGGCTGTATGCGAAACCCCGGGGAAACTCAGTGCACGTCTCCACCTGAGATATGGCTGCCCTCCATGGCCTTGGAAGGACGCCGTGCTGTGCACTACCATGGACTGTAGGGCGTGTACGTTCCAGGAGTGTCACCAGTCATCTGTGAAGTGACCATCGATCGACGCGTTCCGCGGTTCACTGCTTCAAGACAGTAATGCTCGTCAGCTCATGTCGAGTCTAGTTGAAATATAGACGTACCTGACATACTCGAGTACCCGCATCTATACCTCCTCCAGATATCCCTGCACGATCAGATGCTCGACATCTGCCCTTCTAACCAAGAACCTCTGACCCCTTCTGAAGTCAATCGCGCCGACTTCAGTCTGAATAACCCCGCAGTCCTTGACAACCCTGACGAGGACGTGCAGATCCTTCGGCGGACGCGTTATCGGCGCGAACAGATCGACTTCCTCCGTCGCGAGGACACCAGAGCGGAACTCCAAGAGCGAGTCGCTGTACGACCGCAGGAAGTCCACCTCGTGCGGGGAGAGCTTGGATCGGACGTCTGCAGAGTTGGAGGCGGAGTTCATGTTCCCGTTCGCGCTGTTGCCTCCGGAGGTAGTGGAGTGGGTAGAGAGGAGAAGAGGGAGCGCGCCGCCGACGGCCCAGAACATGTCTTTGAGACGTTCGAGGCGATGGTGGTGATACGCGAGCAGACATCGTTTGTTGCGAAGGATGGCTGTTTGATATAGTAGTATGGTGGGCGTGTCAGGGTCTTCGCCGAGACTGGCTCCGTCGTCTTGTCTCGCGAGGACATCTTGGATGAGGGCTTCGAGTTGGCGTTGTTCGCGGAGAATGGAGCGGACGAGGACGTCGTTGTATTTGAGGAGGGTGTCTGTGGCGGTCGAGCGACGCGACTCTGTGAGGAGCTGTGTGGCGAGTTCGCCGTACTGTTTGACGGAGTCGTTCATGACATGGAGAGCAGGAGGAAGAAAGAGAATCTGAGAAAGAGAACGCGGGTGGCGTGACATACGCGTGACGCCACGCGTTTCGATGATCGGAGATGCATCGGCGTCTGCTTTCCAAGACGACTTCCTCTTTCCTCCAAACTCTGGCTAGCGATACTCTCCACACCATGGCCCAACCAGATTCGCAAGAGATCGGAGACGCGACCACCGCCGTTCAGTAAGCTCACCGTCATCTCATTCACGATGGGTATCTCATCACTGCCACCAGCTCTCAGCCAGACAGCAAAACAAGACGATACGACCGTCAGCTCAGGTACGCAGTCCTATCCCACCGATCTTCATTCATTCCTGACGTATCACAACAGACTGTGGGCTGCGTCCGGCCAATCCGCGCTCGAATCCTCCCGCACGCTCGTCATCTCCGCCTCCGCCACATCCACCTCTATCCTCAAGAACCTCGTCCTCCCCGGAATCGGCCACTTCACCCTCCTCGACGCCGACGCTGTCTCTCCAGCCGACGCAGGCAACAACTTCTTTCTGAACGGATACTCCTCCATCGGGAAGAACAAGGCCGAGGAAGCGGTCCCGCTGCTGACTGAGCTCAACGAGAGCGTCGATGGCAAGGCCGAGGTCAAGCCGATCGACGAGGTGCTGCAGACGGACGAGGGCAGGAATTGGGTGAAGAGCTTCTCGTTGGTGATTGCGCATAATCTGAGCCAGGACACGCTGGACACGCTGTCGAAGCTGCTGTGGGACGGTCTGGGCAACCCGCCGCTCATAGTAGTGCGGTCTGCTGGTTTCCTGGCGGATTTCTTCATCCAATTCCACGAACAGTGCAGTGCGTGCTACGAGTTCTCATTTTATGGTTTTCTGCTTATTTGTGATCGCAGTCATTGAACCACATAGCGAGACGTTCCCATCTCTGCGGCTCACACGACCTTTCCCTGCACTCGCAGAATGGGCCAACTCTACAGACTACGACAAACTCGATCCCACAGAACACGCACACATACCCTTCCCCATCATCCTCGTCAAAGCCACGGAGAAGTGGAAAGCCGAGGTACGTGCGCCCTCCATCACGACCGACCCACTGACTAACATGACCGTACCCAACGTTCTCAGCACGATGGTCAATTACCCAAAGTCTACGCAGAGAAACAAGCTTTCAAAGCTGCGATCCGAGACCTGCAAAAGAAGATGGACGAAGAGAACTTCGACGAGGCTGAAGCGCAGGCATGGCGCATCTCCGGCGAAGTCCCCGTCCCCTCCGAGATCAAGTCTCTCTTCGCGCTCACTCCGCTCGTCCCCGCATCGTCCTCCTCCTCTACGAACGGATCAAGTGTATCAGAACAGTCCAACGCGGCCTTCCACACTTTACTCCAGACGTTGAAGCTGTTCGTGGAGAGCCCCGAGGGCCCGGGGTGTCTGCCGCTGACGAGCACGTTGCCGGACATGCACACGGATACGGAGAGCTACGTGCGGCTGCAGCGGATGTACAAGGAGCAAGCGGGGAAGGAGGCGGCGCTGTTTAAGAAGATCCTCAAGGCGAATTTCCCGGATACGCCTGTGGATGATGGGATGGTGGATCTGTTTGTGAAGAATACGCATCATGTGAACGTGCTGAGAGGGAAGCGGTGGGGTGCTTGGGAGGAGGATAAGAGTGCTGTTGGTACGTCGTTCTTCAGGTCTCTCATGTTTCATTTGAGGTTCTGACTTCTGCTTGAAGCGTCGTCACTCGAGAGTGACCCTCGCGAAACGGCGACTCACCTCGCCTTGTCTGCGCTCTCAAACTTGCAATCCAAGGGTATCGGTACGTCTTACGCGTCACACGTGAAACACACAGTTGGGCACGGAAAACTGATTGAGCCTTCCTCTACGTTCGCAAAAACGCTCACTCGAAACAGATGTAACCGCAGACGCGCTGAGAGCCGACATCCTCACCCGCCTCCCGCCCAACACCGAACTCCCCGAAGAAATGACCAATGCCGTGGGCGAGCTGTACGTTCTCTCTCTCCTCTCCTCTCCT